GCCTAAAATGCTAGTAGGGCGCTATATAGTGGGGAAATGGCGAAAGAACGGAGTGAAACGGTCAAAATCCTGCGAAGAAAGAGCCTCCGTTCAATGCGTTAGAAATCAATTTTGGACGAGTTTCCTCTCGTCCAAGATTGATTTCTAACGCATCTTGCCAATAACCGCTACCGAAGATATGGTTCATATGTGTACTCATATATCCATGCAGCATCACGGCCGCTTCATACCAATCCCTTCGCTTCATAATTTGCTTAGCAAATGAATCGATTAGAGCGTCAGGAACGGTCGTCCATTTGTGGGCGGGCGGGCGTGGCGGGCGGATGTTGTGGCTTGATAGGGCCCTTATAAGGGCACCTCCCTTGGAAAAGGCATTATGCAGGGTCGCGGAATTCCGTCCTGCCAGGCGTATTAATCCTACTCGCCTTGGGGGATTTGTGCCAACTGCCTTTAAGAGGGTGCCACATATTGCCACGAGTCATTTCAAGAGTTTTGTCGACTACTGCCCTTTTCGAGTCAGCTCTTGCAGAGGCAGTGAAAGCATTGTAGGTTCCAGTGCTGACCAATATCAGCACAAACTAACATTTGCCGAAATCCTCACGCACATCGGCCTTGGTTTCCCCCGTGTTCGAAATGACCGTAAAACTCTCGATATTGGACATGTACCTTCCTCTTTTTCCCTACAAGCCTCTCCGCTCGATAGAGCAGAAAGGCTTGTAGGGAAAAAGAGGAAGGTACATGTCGAAAGGATGGTACGTACGCCGTCATGTCTACTGAGCTAGGGTAAGTCGCCTATGGCATAAAAGCGGGCTTAGCTGCTCATTTGACCCTATGTGAATGTCAGAGGCTCTTCTCATTTCGTACGGTTAGAACTTTGGTAATGTAGACTCTCTCGTACGTCGCAACGATTGAGTAAAGCAGCGTTCAGACCTCGCGACCGTCGCGAGGTTTGAACGCTGCCAAAAACTGACTATTCCAAGGCGTATGGAGCAATTAGCAGTGAATGTACGTGAGGATAGTGCAGCCAGCACAAAAACCTAAAAAGGAACGTTCCCAACAGACCAAGGCAATGTAACGGGAGGAGAAGCAGTCGCAAACAGCAGATGACAAGGCAGATTCCTAACATTGTCAGTGGGACGTCTGTCGTACTATTTCTATATGAAACGGAACATCCCATAAGCTCATGCCGAAGTTGCTGTTAATAGAAAAAGACTACGAATGCAAGCACAAGAGATGGAAATTCGTTGTTTGGGAAGCCGAGGCTAGTGCGACGTCGGCAAAAACGAGCAGTTCCGGTGATTCTACAGCCAGTTGCTGCATGCTAGACTTCCTGTCTACTCCAATGGGCTTCTCTCCCCCACGGCCTCTATGCATACCAGACTTTGGAACTAAAGCGCTCAACGAATGAAAACAACCGATGGTATTTTCGAAACGGGTTTCAAAACTACAAATTTTCGATACAAAAATGACGGTAACCTTAGAAGAGTGTGAAGACACACCTACCGGATACTGCCCCGGAACATAATTGTGCGAGTATCCAAAGCCCGCTTAATTCTCAATGAGGAGTCGAGAGCATGCCTCACTCTGCTAAGGGATCGATTAGCAATATGCTGTGCCAAGCTTTATTCGCTGTGCCTTCTCCTCTTCCACCGGGGGAACTGAACTATTGCTTTGAACCCCAACGCTCTTGAAAAAATAAAATTATTGCAATAATAATACTGCAATAATACTCTAAATACTGCATGCCAATGCCGTCAAAGCAGCAGAACATAGAACGTAAATTAGGACAAATAGGTTAGATGATTTTGAGCTTAATAGGTTCAAGTAGGTATAATGATTTCATCCGCGAAAAAATGGTGCCCAAATCTCGAGAGATGTCTAGTTAGCTGATGCCCCTGCATATATGGAGCTAGCAGAGTTAGAGCGTGTCATGGGTTCACAAAGCGTCCAAATCAGAATTGCTCAGCGCATATACAGGGGGGCCAAAAAAAGTCATTTTGCCTCCATGACTTTCAAGGCGCTATAAGTTACACTTTATTAAATTTTTATCGGACATTTTTACTACCATATTAAAGAGCACATTAAATACTATAATGATACTCCGCCACAGCCTTCTGGAGGAGCGCCATCGAGAGATTCGGCCGCGAAAGTGAGTGGGTACCGGAGTTGAGCGAGATCGTTGATTTCTCCGCCACTGTAGACCACCCTGTTGAGCTCCGCCCGAACCGAGTAATTGAGGGGGTTTAGTTCAGGACCCCGCTTAAATACTCCATCTTTTCCAGGTACTCAACGTTCTTCCATTCCAAGTAGGCGAAAGTTTTTCCAACGCCCTTCGATTAAATGTGTTGTCACCCAATCCTGCCATAGCGCACACCCTCAGTCTGGGGCCCACGAAGAAAATATCGGTTCATCCATTCCAGGTACGGCCGGTCCACACCATCAACCCGCGCCTTGGTGAATGGGGTGAAGATGATGTCCTGGACCGTAGCGACGTTGCCGGAGCTGCTCGATGTTTGAGGTCTTGCAGATCAAGAGTACTGGTCTCCAGGTAGCTATCCATGGGTGATTCCATTCAAGAAGTTCCGCAGCTGTTTGGAGGCCACGTGAATTCCAAAGGCGTTCTCCACTCAGGCCGCGACTGGAGATGACTTCATATTTTGGTGTACATGAAGGTGAATGGCGCAGCCGGCTCCTGCTTATAGAGGAAGATCTTTGGGTATCTCCCCCTGCGTACTTCATATCACTTCCTCTGTCTGGCTGCGAAACTTCGTTCACTACGTGACTCGAGCCGGAATGACTTTTTTGGCCCCCCCCCCTGTATATTAGATTGTCTCCATAGTTGTTGTAGTTGTTTCAGAACACTATTTCTTCTAAATACTTTTGGTGTTCACCCAAGGTAGTCTATAAAATGAGTGACTACAGTTAATTTCAACGAATGACATGAATGTACAGGGTGGCCAAAAAGTCACTTTTCTTCCTTGACTTTCAGGGCGCTATAAGTTACACTTTATTAAATTCTGATGGGACATTTCCACCACCATATTCAACAGCATATTGTACTATCATGATACTCCGCCACAGCCTTCTGGACGAGCGCCATCGAGAGATTCTGCCACGCGACCGTGATTCGGTACCTGAGTTCAGCGAGATCGTTGATTTCTCCGCCACTGTAGACCACCCTGTTGAGCTCCGCCCGAACCGGGTAATTGAGGGGGTTTAGGTCAGGTGACACACTTGGATATTCCGTCTTCTTCAGGTACTCAACGCCCTTCCATTCCAAGTAGGCGAAGTTTTTCCAACGCCCTTCGATTCCGTGTGGAGGCACCCAATCCTGTAGCAGTACGAAGTCTCCAAGAAGGTACAGGCGATGACATGAAGGCAGGATATTCTTCACGAGTTGGTCGATGTAACCGCCAGCGCTCACCTTCAGTCCGGGGTCCACGAAGAAAATATCGGTCTTCACATTCCAGGAACTTCCGGTCCATACCACCAACCGCGCCTTGGCGACTGCGGTGAAGATGATATCCTAGACCGTAGCGACGTTGTCGGAGCTGCTCGATGTTGGAGGTCTTGCAGATCAAGAGTACTGGTCTCCAGGTAGCTATCCATGGGTGACTCCATACAAGAAGTTTCGCAGCTGTTTGGAGGTGACATGAATTCCAAAGGCTTCTCCAGTCAGGCTGCGACTGGAGATGACTTCATATTTTGGTGTACATGAAGGTGATGGGCCAGCCTGCTCCTGCTTATCGAGGAACATCTTGGGTATCTTCCGCCCTGGTACTCGTATCCACTTCCTCTGTCTGGGCTGCGAAAACTTCGCTGATATGTGACTCGGCCGAAGTGACTTTTTTTGCCCCCCCCCTGTATGTCTAAAGCCTCTCTCGCAGAAATTCGGAGATTCTCTCCGAGCAAAGATATGATTTCAGGTGTAAAGTTAAGGTCTTGTCATTCAGCGCAAGGTTTCCTCTCAAACATGTGAGCTGGAGAGCGGACAGGTACCAGTACGTTTAATCAAGGTGACTATATGGTGTAAGCCGAAGAACTATACATTCGGGAACCTTCACTCTTTCCAGGAGATACAGTCGTCATCCGGGCGCCTGATCAGGCGGCAAAGGGTCGCGACGCGGCGCGTCACAACCGCGGCTATCAGCTGTTTCTGGCCTATCTGGCCATTCTCCCCTAATTTTCACTATATTTTCTATTTTTTCTCCAAGGTAAGTTGTTTCATGTTGTTTCATTGTCTTCATGAAATCCATTGGACGCGGAGTGTTTTTTTTCTTTTGCACTGTTTTTGCGATTTTTTCAGGTGTTTGTTCAATTGTCTGCTTATCTGTCATTTGTACGCAAAAATCAGAGGAATCTCAATCATCAATTCACCTTGTGAAGACAAGGAACAACTAATCTTAAGAAAGCAGCAGCAAAACAGTAAATTAGGGAGAAATTGGCTAAAATAGGCTGGAAACAGCTGATCGCGCTGCGCTCATGACACTCGTAGTTATTCTACTCGTCTTTAGGGGTTTATCCTGCCAGCAGCCTTTGAGTATACTGGAGAGAGTTACATGTGCAGCAAAGATAAACGGCGACCCGTTTCACCCATCCCCTTCCCCACCCCTCCCCCCTCAAAACAACAACACGCTCTTCTTGCATTTCTAAGTACCGCAGCTAGAATCGTAGTAATGAATAAATAGCAGTGGGATTTAATTTGCAAATCGGAAAACAAAACCACATCCTGAAACAGAGGGACATGAAACATGAAACAGAGGGAAGTTTATCGCATCTGCAGTGTTGCTTCGCGCTCAAATGGCAGTGTTCTCCGGCGCAGTTTGTCGACGGGGGGGGGGCATTTTGCTTTCCATAGATGTGTCGACCCATCTAGGCAGCCGTTTCTCGAGTTGACACGTTTTAGGATAGTGGCTAGACGATCTTACTTCAGCTTCACTTAAGAGTTTAATTACCCAATTTGAGTAGGTAAAAATCCGACTTAATCGCAAGTAGTCATCATGAGTATTATGAGTTATAACGGAGGAACTGTCCTCGCCATGGCGGGGAACGAATGTGTCTGCATTGCTTCTGATCTCAGACTGGGAGAACAGATGACAACGATAGCTGTTGATCAGAAAAAGGTCCACAAAATTGCAGACAAGGTGTATCTAGGACTCGCTGGGTTCAATTCGGATGCAGTCACTGTTTTGGAAAAAGTCACCTTTCGGAAGACATTATATGAGCTTCGGGAAAACCGCAAAATTAAGCCAGCAGTGCTCGCGACGATGATTTCTAATCTTGCTTATCAACATCGGTTTGGCTCGTTTTTCACAGAGCCGTTAGTTGCTGGCCTTGATCCAGATACTAATAAGCCATACATTTGCGGAATGGATACAATTGGTTGCATTGCTGCTCCAAATGATTTTGTTGCTGTTGGCACGGGTCAAGAGTACTTACTTGGGGTGTGCGAAACATTCTGGAAGGAGAACATGAGCCCCGAAGAGTTGTTTGAGGCTACTGCGCAATCGATGCTTGCCTGCTTAGAGAGAGATGCTGCTTCAGGATGGGGAGTTGTCATTTATACAGTCACTAAAGATAAGGTGAACATCAGTACGTTGAAAGGAAGAATGGATTAAAACCATGGCCACATACTTTTACCTCGTACCTTGTTTTATTCGTCATGGTGCATTATCATTGAAGGCGATTTCATTCTAGCTTCCACTTCAACGGTTTTCTCGTTCTGTTGGGTAATAAACTGTACTTGTGTTACGCTGAATTAATTCTATAATTGTTTTTAATTCTTATTTATGCAGATTTGAGAACAATAAATTGTTGCCACTTCAGCTTCACAAGAGTTCACAAGTTTTACCAGAGTGAGATTTGTAAACCGGAACTAGGGAAGCAATGATAATACAAAATGCCCCCCGTCGACAAACAGCGCCGTGTTCTCCATTTAGATGACCTCCGCTCTGTAGCATTGCCCGTTGAGTGAGCTGAAGCTGGTGCAAATGGTTCACATACTGTAGCGCGTCCTATGCCTCCCTCACCGCGGACTGGAAGTGTTGAACCACAACAAAGCTATTAGGCTGTGTCACCATTTCCGAAACATTTTGTAGTCGAATCTATAGGAAATATAAAAAGAATTTTTATATTTGTGAACGGCTCGTTATAAGCGGTCGACATTCTTGATCCCATGCACCTACTCAGCTCACTTGCTAAGCTGTTTTCTGAGGCTTCTACGCCAATTTTCTGGTGCTATGAGTAGGCCAAACTCTTTCAGTTTATGGCATACATTTGATACTGCCTGAGGGGCTCTTCTCATTTGAAGATTATCCGCATCCACAACCAATTATGTGCTCTGCCCCCGACCACTTCATTAGATGCAGCCAGCCTGATCTAAAATTTTCATTTTTTTCCACACTTAGCTGGCTTATAATATGACTTTTCCTGTTTGACGCTAAGTGCCGACATAGTGCGGGGACTTCCATTGGGAGAAATGTCGTATTTGCTCGTTACTTCATGATGAAGAGGAGCCGTACCTAGCCTTAAAAGAGGTTTTGGAAGTCTAAGAAAAGTTTATGAAGACATCTCGAAAAAGGTGGTAGGTCTTGGGAAAAGTCGGTATGATGGCAGGCAGTATGCGAAGGTGGGGGGGGGGGGAGGCGCGTACTGATCTCCATAAAAAAAAGAGGGGAGGGAGTACGGACTTGAGCAATATCCCCACCCCAACCAGTGATTCGCTCTGTGGAAAAACACTATTCTCCAAAATATTTCAAATGTCAAATATTACAAATGTGATTTCAAATGTCAATATTAGTGCCAGTACTTCATGATGCAATGTTCCCCAGGATGATTCTAGCAAATTGCACCATTGTTGTGCGAATCCCGTGCCCCGTCTTCGGTCATGTGGTGAGGAGGGGAGCTTTGAGG